TCCCACATTAATTAAAGCAATTTAGATAACTCCCCCCAAATAGGCCCACAGGCCAATCTAATGTGGATAATCCATCACTGACAGCTCTCTTCCCAGGTCATTCTAGGTTGTTTCAAGTTGATAATTAAAATGAACCATCACATAAGGCAAGAACTTGCCCACTGACATACATTCCCAGCCAAGAAGACATCCTATCAATTTTAATATCAGTAAAAAGGTAACACTATGGCAGCATATACCTCTAAACAAGCAATTGGGGAGTCAAGGGCATCATGAGTTTGAGTCCAGCCAGGCTACAGAGTAAGTCCCTATTTCAAAAACAAAACAAAACAGAACAAAACAAAAATCCAACAAAACAAAAACAAAAACAAATCAAAATGTGCTAAGAGACAAATAATAAAATTGCATATAGATAAAAGGACCAATTCATAAATAGCCAGGCACAGTATTGCATGCTTGTAATTCCAGCACTTTGGAGAGGAAGGCAGGATCAGGAGTTCAAAGTCACCCTTAGATGTATAGTGAGTTCATTGGCCAGGCTGGGCTACATGATACCCTTTTTTTGGTTTCAAAAACAGTAGCCCAAAACATATGTAATTACAATTATATATGAACCAAATAATTGAAACCTCAAAATATAAACAAATTGACCAACTTAAAGGGAGAAATACACAGTTCTACAATATCAATGGAAGACTCAACGAACTTATTTTTGGTTTATTTGCTTGAGGTCAAATTATTTTATTTAGAAGTTTGAAGGTATGAAGGGGCTGAAGAGATCAATGGATCTGATGTCCTTAGCAGGGCAGGCTCTCCCTGGCCTCATTATCACTGAAGGTTCAATATACTTTCAATAATAGAGTATCTAGAAAAAAAGGTAAATAAGGGAATAGAGGATTTTATTTAATTTTTTTTTGAGACAGGGTCTCATGTAGAAACAGCTGGCTTGGAATTTACTATGTAGCTGAAGCTGGCCTTGATCTCATCTTCCGTTCTATATTTCTCAAGTGTTAAGGTTACAGGTGTGTGCCACTATATCTGGTATAAAGGATTTTAATAGTACCATAAACCAGCTAACCTAATAGAAATATACAGGGTCTGGAGAGATGGCTCAGTGGTTAAGAACACTAGCTATTCTTGTACAAGACCCAAGGTCAGTTCCCAGCACCCATATGACAGTTAACACCCATCCTTAATGCCAATTCCAGGGGATCTGATGCCCTCTTCTGGCAGCCACAGCAATTGCATGATATGGGTGGACTTATATCCAGGCAAAACATTCATACACATAAAATAAAAATAAATAAATTTTAAAAAATTAAAGAAATAAATATACAGAGCACAGCACTCAACAACAGTAGAGTATGCATTTTCCTGAAGTGCACATAGAACAGTCAGTAGAGCATGATGGCACATTCCTGTAATCCTAAGAACTTGGGAGACAGACGCTGGTGGAATAAGAATTCAGGTCACCCTCAGCTATATATTGCATTCAAGGCCAGCCTGTGCTACATGAGACCTTGTCTTAAAAATCAAACACAAAAACAAAAAGCCACCCCCCAAAAAACCCACCCAAAACTAAAAACAAAACAACAACAAAAAACCACTCTCTAGACCAGGCTGGATGATGTTAAGTCATAAAACATGTCCACGTATATTTTTAAAAGACAGGTATCATATAAAGTATCTTCTTCAGCCACAGTGAATAAAACTAGGAATCAATCGTGAAAGGAATAAGATTTTGCAAATATGTGGAAATTAAACACGTGTGTGCGTGCGTGCGTGTGTGTGTGTGTGTGTGTGTGTGTGGTGTAGTGATGGGGATCAAACCCACGGCTTCACTCATGCTAGGTTAGTGCTCTGCTACTGAGCTAGATCTCTAGCCTAAACAACATAATCTTAAACAACTGGTGAGTAAAGGATGAAATCACAACTGAAGTTAGAACACTTTAGATGAAGCAGGGCATGGTGGTTCATGCCTACAAGCCTAGCACTTAGGAGGCAGTTATCAGTTTCAAAGCCAGCTTTGTCTACATAGGCTTTCCGAATAGGCGTGTTACATAGTGAGAACCTGTCTCCAACTCCCTGATCCAAAGAAAAGAACTAGAGATAATGAAGTTTATATTAAAATTTAGGAGAGGAGATGAAGATAGCAATTAAAGAAACATTTAAAGCTGTAACTATGTACAGCAGGAGAGATGGCTCAGTGGTTAAGAGTACTGGCTGCTCTTGCAGAAGACCCAGGTTCAGGTCCCAGCACCCACACAGAGGCTAACAACTGTCTGTAACTCCAGTTCCAGGGGACCCAACGCCCTCTTCTGACCTCTGAGGGCACTGCATAACATGGGTACACCTATCTACATGCAGGGAATTTACTCATAACACATAAAATAAAATAATAAAGAAAAAAGAAAGGAGCTGGGCATCGTGATGCATGCCTTTAATACCAACACTTGGGTGTGGGGGCAGATGCAGGTAGATCTCTATGAGATCGAGGCCGGTCTGGTCTACATAGTGAGTTCCTCTCTAGCTGGGGCTACAGGGAGACGCTGTCTAGAAAAAAAGAAAGAAAAGAAAGCTGGGGAGGTGGCACACACCTGTCATTCCAGCACTTGGGAGGCTGAGGCAGGATGAATGCTATGAGTTTAAGACCAGGCTGGGCTGTAGAGTGAGTTCCTGGGCAACAGAGTGAGATCCCAGATTAAAATAGAAAAATAAAAGATGCCTCAAATCAATAGCCTAATTTTACATTTTGACGAACAGATGAAAGAAAATAATAAAGGCTGAAATATAAATAAATTAGAGACCACAAAATCAACAGAGAGAACGAATGAAATTCAGTTGGTTCACTGAAAAATCCAACACTCTGCTAGGCATAGAGATACATGTCCCAGCACTCAGGAGGTGGATATGGAGGGTCAGAAGCTTAAAGCCAGCCTGGGTTGTCTGAGATAATTCTCTCTCTCTCTCTCTCTCTCTCTCTCTCTCTCTCTCTCTCTCTCTCTCTCTCAGAAAAAAACATTAAAAGAAAAAACCTAAATATGTCCCAAGGATTAACTCAATGAATTTGATACAAATCTGTGTATGGATAAGGTTTATGCCCATTTTTCATCTGAGAAGCTGAGATTTAGACACGGCTAAGGTCACTGAGGAGCCCTGGAACCCCAAAACCATCCCTACACAACCTGTGCTTCATTCCCACATTCCTATTGTGTATCTCATATTTAATACCTCCCTTACACACTGCCTATATTTTATATTTCTTACATACCACACAGAAGCTGACAGGTAAAGCTGGGCATGGCGATATGCATCTGTAATCCCAACACTTGGGAGGCTGGGGCAAGAGGATCATGAAATCTGCAGTTTTCTTTTTTTTTTTTCCAGAGCCTCATGTGGCCCAGGCTAGCTTCAAACTCAATATGTAGGCAAAGTTGGTCTTGAACTCTGAATCGTCCTGCCTCCACCTTGGGAGTGCTGAGATTACAGGTATATGCGACCATGCTCAGTTTTGTACTTTCATTTCCGGAGACAGGATCCTGAGCACACAAGACTCTGAAATAAAGAAAACCATGCTTTTACTCACCCATTAAAATATAAACATTCCTCTGAGTGGTGCAGTCACAACTATGTTCTAGCAACATAATTGGGCATAGAGATTCTTTACTCAATCAGCCACATCCTTCTGACTTCCTTAGCCAAGCCTGGCCTGTATCCATGCCAGCCTATCTTTATTCTATTCACATATGGATACCATACAGTCTCATCCCCACTGACAGGCCTCAGCTAGGCCATACCAAATATTTCTAATCCTCCTACTCTCTTATCTGTCTCTCCAACACTGTGGCATTTGGAATCACTAAGCAGAGGTGGTTATTCACAAAGTGTTTTGCCATGTACCTCAAGCAAGGTCAGTATGGGAAGGCTACACTCTCTTCCACATCCTGCCCACCTTTCAACGTTGGCACTTTCTTGTTTTTTAAATATTTATGGTTTTGACACACTGTGTTAGTTACTTTCTATTGCTCTGATAAACACCACGACCAAATGTATATTATAGAAGAGTTTATTTTGGCTTACAATTCCAGAAGGGAGAGAGTACATAATGGTGGGTGAGATATGGCATTGGGCAGTCAGAGTAGAAGGCTGAGAGATCACATCTTCAAAACATAGTGGCACATGCTGTAATCCCAGCACTTGGGAGGTAGAGGAGGAGGAGCACCATGAGTTCAAGGCCAGCCTGGGAGTTTCAGGCCAGCTAAGGCTACAGAATGAGACACAGGCAGGAACAGTGGCACAAGTTCAATATCAATCTGATCTACATAGCAAGTATTAGGCCTGTCTAGGCTGCAGAGTGAGACCCTTTCCCACCACCCCCAAAATAGAATGCCTCCTCTAGGGCACACACTGCTGGAAACCAAGAAGAAAGACTAACCAACTGAGCTGCCAACGGAAGGTAAAAACCAATGGAATGGGTGGGCGCAGTGACACATGCCTGAAGCCAGCACGCACACAATGGAAGGGGTGGGGGGAGAGAGAGAGAGGAGAGAGAGAGAGAGAGAGAGAGAGAGAGAGAGAGAGAGAGAGAGAAACCAGAAGTGGGGTAAGGATATGAACTCCCAAAGCTCACCCTAGTGACGTTCTATAGCAAGCCCACATCTTCTAAATCTCTACAAATAGCACAACCAACTGGGGACTAAATCTTGTTCAAATACCAGAGCTTATGGGGGGCCATTTCTCATTTAAATTGTCACACATAGGATCTTGCTATATAGCCCCAGGCTGGCTTCAAACTTATGATCCTCCTGTTTCAGCTTCCTGGGTGCTGGGATTATAGGGATGTGCTACTATATCTGGTAATATTTTTTTAAATTTTTATATCTGCTTTTATAGTGGGAGCAGTTGAACCACAGAACCATCATCCCTGTCCAGCATAAAGAGAAATTAAATGGAATGGAAAGGCAAGGACCTCCTAGGGTTAGATAAAGGCATGGAGGTAGGGCATTCCCCTGTAATCCAAGCTTATTGGCCATCACTGCTCTCTCCCTTCCTAGAGTTAACCCTCAGTAACCTTTGGTCACCTGCCTATGAGGGCATCAGGATCATTCTTCACTGTCATTATGCTTTTATTTACATGACTCCCTCTTGATTCTGTGTCCCAATTTTCCCCACCTGTTCACTGCAAGAACAACCAATAGGATGAATGTGTATACAATTTATTAAATCAGCTTATACTAAAATATTAGGAGCAGTAGCTGAGAGACTGGTAGGTGCTCAGTTCTTAAGGCTGGATGCCTCAGAAGTCGGAATAGTTTCACAGTGGCTGTCTCGATGGAGAGGCTGACAACTTGGTAGTTGCTCAGTCCATGGTGCTGGGTGCCTCATCAATCCCATGCTGGTGCTGGAAACCCATAGGGTTCCTTGAGAGCTGGTGGTCCTCAGTCAATGATGGAATCCTGAAGACACTGGTTCTGCTATCAAATGAGGAACCATCATCAGCAATAAGAGTAAATCAACCCGGTGGCTGAAGAGAAGGTCAAACAAGCATCAGGCAAATATTTTTCATTCTGTCATACCTCCCTTTATCTAGGCTGCTACCAGAAGGGGCTGCACACATTTGGGATGGGTCTTACCACATCAATTAAGGCAATCAGGACAATTTCTCAAATGACGCTGCCTACACAAGGGATTCTAATTTGTGGCATGTTGACATTAAAACAAACCATTACAACTATCTGCTAAGGGGAAATCAGTTATGGGGTCTACTCCATCACCACAAGGGATTCAAGATGCAAAATGGCTATTATCAGTCTTGAACTATGCTCGGCGCTATCTGTGTGGATATAGTTTTCCAATGTTTCCCTCTAGGTTAGGAAAACTGCAGGAGTTCCTATGTACCATTTTAGTTCCTATCAAAAGCAGTATGTTGAAGTCTGATGAATAAGTTGTCAGACTTTGTGGTCAAACTACCTGAACATGATTCTCTGTTAGTTCTATGAGTGAAGGCAAGTTACTAAAATCTCTTAGACTTTTTCAAATTTAAATTTAAAATGTATGAGTGTTTTGCCTACATGTATGTAAGTGCATCCATGTCGTGCAATGCCTGTGAAGACCAGAAGACGGTGTCAGATACTCTGGAACTGGAGTTATGAAAGGTTGTTAGCCACCAAGTGGGTACTGGGAACTGAACTGGGTCCTCTGCAAGAGCAGCCTATGCTCTTAATTGCTGAGCCATCTCTCCTGTCCCCTAACATCTTTCAGATCTTAGTAATTCAGTCTTAGAAAAGTGAAGCTAACGATGACATGACTGTCATAGGGTTGTTTCATAGATTAAATGAAATAATATAAAGTACTTGGTACTTTGAAAATATATAGTAGATTTTTATTGAATAAATGACTGAACTAATTAATTGAATTCTACTTAGGCTTAGAATCACAGATCTGATAAATAGCAAATATAATCTACACTACTCAGAATGTGTCCCATTAGAAGGTAAGTTTTGCAAAGGAAGGCAATTATTAAGGGCAGAAGGATTTATTTTGGCTCATAGTTTTAGAGGACAAAGTCTATTATGGTATGGAAGGTGTGGCAGTAAGAACAGATCACTGCTTTGGCAGTGGGAGTGTGAAACAGCTGCTTGGTTATATCACATTGGCAGTCAGGAAACAGAGAGATGAATATACTAGTATTTATTTATTTATTTATTTATTTATTTATTTATTTATTTATTTATTTTTGCCAAGTGATCCTCTACCTCAGCCTCGCTGAGTAGTGGAATTGCAGGTGTGTAATGTCTGGTAAGGATAAGTCTTTTCAGTCAGTTTTGCAACCTCAAGATCCTAGCACACTGCCTGGCAGAGTATTTTCTTTATTATTATTATTATTATTATTTTACTTTACTTTTTTTTTGAGACAGTGTCTCCCTGTAGCCCCAGGTAGCCTGGAACTTGTTATGTATACCAGGCTGACCTCCAGCTCACAGAGATCCATCTGCTTCTGCCCCCAAAGTGCTGGGATTAAAGGCAAGTGCCATTGAACCTGGGATGCGGGAGGAGGGCAAGCTGCTGTGACAGTGACACACAAGAATTTTTCTAGTCTTGGATGTGAGAGAGAATTAAATTTCCCTAGGCAAGTGACTATCTGATGCTGGAGGAGGAAGGGAATTAGGGAATAAGGAAAGAGAAAAGGTAGCGATAATAACCTTAGGCTCCCAATGAATCAGAGAAATGATCAGTGTGCCTTAGATTGGGGCTAGATTCTGGGCTTTTCCAATTGTGGTAATGGTCAAAACATTTACTGAACTACAGACCACTGGAGAAGAAAAGCAGGTTTGGTGAAAAGGTGTTTACCTTGCTCTTTGCTTCCTTATTCCCTCCCCCCTCCCTCCCTCCCTTCCCTCTTTCTTCTCTTTTCTCTTCCTCCCCTTCCCTCACTCCCTCTCTTCCCTCCCTCTTTCTCTTTTCTCTTCCTTCCCTCTTCTCCCCCCCGTCCCTCCCTCTCTCCTTTCTTTTTTTCCTGTCTTGATAGTGCTGGTAAGTCCTGCTGTACCACTGATCCTCATCCTCTCCCCCTATTCTCTTCACTTTTCATCAACCCACATCCACTTTCCAAAAGAATTTGTCAAACTCTGGCATGGTGGCTCATGCTGGTAATCACAGCACTCAGGTGGCTGAGGTAGGAGGATTAACACGAGCTCTAGGGCAGTCCAGGCTACATAGTGAGCTCTACGTTTTAGCTACTGAGACCCTGTCTCAAAATAAGGAAAAAAAAAGGGGGAATCTATTGTACCTCTAATTCCACAATGCTATATAGCCAAGATTATAATATTTTTATATATGTACACAATATATTTGTTTGGGGGGTTGGTATTTTGAGACAGGGTCTCACTATGTAGCATTGTCTGACCTGGAACTCACTACGTAGTCTAGACTAACCTCAAACTCACAGAGCTCTGCCTGCCCTCTTCCTCCCAGGTGCTGGAACTAAAGGTGTGTGCTACCATGCCTGGCTAATGTATGGAATATATTTTGATTACATTCTCCCCCGTTACTCTCATCACCCTGCCACTCCCACTAATACACTTCCTCTTTCAAACTAGTCTTCCTTTTACTTTCATGTTTGTGATAGTTGTGTCAACTTGGCACAGTCTAGAATCACCTGGGAATGGAATCTCAATGAGGGATTGTCTAGATTAGGTTAGCCTGTGGGTATGTCTGTGAGGGTCTGGAGGAGTGGGAAGACCCATCTACTGTTGTCAGCACCATAACCAGGGCAAGCTATCCTGAATTGTATGCATGGAGACAGTGAGCTGAGCACTAGCATGCCTGTATTAATTCATTGCTCTCTGCTCTTGACTATAGGTATAATGTGACTAGTTGCTTCAAGTTCCTGCCACCTTCACTTCCCCACAGTGATGGATGGTAACATGACATTGTCTCACTTAAGTTGCTCTTATCAGAATATTTTATCACAGAAACATGAAAGGAAACTAAGAATATGCCTTTTTTTGCACACAATGAGTTTCATTAGGGTTAGTTTTACAGAAGACAGGTGAGGGTTAGTTTTCAGGTGCATGGGTGAGGGTTAGTTTACAGGAGGACAGCACTCTGCCACTACCTACACCACTAAAGAACATACATGTTTCTCCATCTTCCAGGTTGATGATAGCTATTGTTCTGTCTCTAGCCCTACACTCTTCTCTGACCTCCACACCCACACAGCTAACAATCTATTGAATATCTCCCCTGGACATCTTACATGCACCAAAGTCTACCATTAACCATACAATTCTTTTCATGCTGCTCCCTGCATTTCTGTCCTCTGTTCCAGTGTTTCCTAGCTTAGCTGCATGAATATTCTACTGAAAGCCAAGAATTTCCAAACCAATAAGCACATAAATCATATTTGTCTATTCTTACTCCGTACATCTGACCTAACACTGAATCTCACATCCACTTATCTTGTGTACAGTAGAATGGCAGTTAAGAAATTGAGTTCTGGTTCTGGTGAGATGGCTCATTGGTTAAGAGCTTAGACTACTCTTCCAAGGACCCGAGTTCACTTCCCAGCACCCACATCTGGTGGCTCATAACTACTTGTAACTGCAGCTCCAAGGGATCTGATAATCTCTTCTGGCATCCACAGGCACCTGCACTCACCTATACACACTCACACACATACACATAATTGAAAAGAAAATAAGTCTTTAAAAAAGGAAATTGAGTTCTAGGCCCAGTGGTAGAGTACTTACCTTGGATGCATGAGGCCCTGGGTTCTGTCCTCAGTCCCACACATACACAAAAAGAGAGAGATTGGGTTCTAAAATCAGCTTGCTTGGTTTATGTCCTGGCTTTGCACCTTACTGCTCAAACTTTCTAGGTCTCAGTGCTGTAACTTGCACATTGGGAGTGAGTGGGTTAGTCTATTTATTTATTTTTATTTTAAAGGTGTAGCCCAGGCTGCCCTTGAACTCTAGAGTCTCCTGCATCTGCTCCTTTAGCATTTCTTACAGGTGTGAGTCACTACCACTGCCTTGACAAATTTGAATAACACCTATGCTTATGTAATAAAGTTGTAAGGATTAACTGAATTAATCTAGGTAAAACACTTAAGAAAGTTGCCTGGCACACAGTAAGTACTTTCTAAGTTACCTATTAATTTTACTACGATAATGGTGACAATGATGACAGTGATGATGGTAACGCTCTAATATATCCCCTTTTGTCCCTCTGGCTGTGACTACCATTAGCGCATCATACTTCTTGACTAGATCACAACAGCCTCCTAACTTAGCTAATAATTGGAGCATAATAGTGTGTTGTGCACAGTGCTTGGCACTGTCATAACACAAGAGTTTATTGGGCATGATGCTTCCCACCCTCCTGGGATATAGAGGAGCAAAATACCTGTTATGGTTTGAATATGAAGGGTCCTCAACAGCTCATAGGCCCGAAGGCTTTGTCCTTCTACAGTGTCCAGGGATAATTTGATGATGGGGATACTAATCTCTTCAACTGATGAATTCACTGATGAGTTCATAGCTTAACAGACTATTGGAAAGTAGGGTCTGATTGGTGGAAGCAGGCCACTGGGGAGATGCCTTTGAAAGATATTTTTTGTCCCCAGCCTCTGCTCCTTCTTTCTTTCTCTGTCTCTTTCTTTCTTTGTTTCTCTTTCTTTCTTCTCTCCTTCCTCTCTTACATCCCTTGCTCCCTCCTATTTATTATATTAAAGTCTCTTGTAGCTCAGGATGGCCTCAAATTGTCTATGTAGTTGAGGATGTCCTTGAACTCCTGATCTTCCTGCATCCATCTCCTAAGTGTTGGGATTACAGGCACGCATCACCACACTCTTCTCTTTCCTTCTTGGCTGCTATGAAATGAGCAGCCTCTGCCACCACAGGTTCTTGCCTCCATTGTCTCTGCCATGAAGCAATAGAAACACCTGAAAATGTGAGTCAAAAGAAATATTTCCTCTTTCAAGTTGATTTTCTCTTATTTTTTGTCATAGCAGTAGAAGGCTAATTAACATAATAATCTAGTACTTCGTGGTCTAGCAAGTAAGCCACTAGCCTCAAGTGACTTTTTCTTCAAGACAGTATATCATGTAGACTAAGTTGGCCTCAAACTGGCTATGTAACTGAGGATAGCCTTCATCTCCTGATCACCCTCCACACCCCCCGCTGTGCTGGCATTACAGGAGTTTACCTCCAAGTCTCAATTTATGTGGTGCTGGGGATCAAACACAGGGCCTCATGCATGCTAGGCACACTATCAACTGAGCTACATTCCTAGCCACGCAAGTGAATATTAAATTTTAAATTTACATTCACTAAAATAAAATCACATTTGAAATTAAGTCCTCCATTTCTAGTGCTCAGCACCTTGGGATCAGATTATTTACATTCATATGGTAGATCTGTCATTTCTAGCTACATGAATTTAAAAATATATAATCAGTCTGAGTCTTCTCATATGTTAAATGAGTTCAAAAATTATGCTCACCTTAAAGAGTTGTTGAATGAATGAAGTTCATATGTGTAAGATATTCTTGTTATATGTCTGGTATTCATTTCCTATGTAATCAGGCATTGTTTGGCTTCACTGGTCTCTGTACGGTGATGGATTTATGTGGACTCTATGGTCCAGGTACACTAGTATTTAAGGGAAAAGCGCCTGTTTCAAATGACATAAAACAGTTGTTATAGAAAACAATGAAGCAGATATGAGGGAAATAAATCAGAATTGTCATTCATCAAGTGTTGACACTGTGCTGGGCAACATACATACATTTTATATTGTTTTGTGTTTTAAAAATATTTTCCTATTTATTATTTTTTATTTTATGTATATGAGTGTATTGCCTGCATATATGTAAGTGCACCTATGTCATACAATGCCCATGGAGGTCAGGGTGGGGGGTGTGTCAGATCCCCTGCCGACTGAAATTACAGACAGTTTTTAGCTGCCATGTGGGTGCTGGCACTCAAACCTGGGTCTTCTGGAAGAACAGCAAGTGTTCTTAATCGCTGAGCCATCTCTCAAGCCCTGTTTTGTGTTTCTGATATAGGGTCTTGAGATGCAACCCAAGCTAACCTTGAAATCATAATCTGTCCTCTGAGTGCTGAAATTGTAGATGTGAGTCACAATGCCTGGCTTCATACATGCATTATTGAATTTCATTTTCTCAACAGCCTTCTGGGATTCATTTTACCAATGAAGATGATGAGGCTAGAGAAATAGGGATTTGGAAAGTCAAGGTCATTGTCAACTGTTACATAGCCAATGGTGAGGGTAAGGTATGCATTCAAAGCCAAGTCTGCCTGATTCCAAAACCACACTCCAAGCTCTGTCCCATACAGAGTATAAAACTTGATGGGAAAGAGTGAGGCTAGAAAAGTAACTTAGAATAACTCTAGTATAATATGAAGGAAGCATGGGAGGGACTAGAAATAGGGAGAAACTCTTATATGAGGCTCAAGAGATGGCTCCAAAGTTAAGAGCACATATGGCTCTTACAGAGGACCTGAGTTTGGTTCCCAACACCCATATCACGTAGCTCAGAATTTCCTATAACTCCAGCACCAGGGGTATTCAATGCCTCTAACCTTTATGTGCACCTGCACTTGTGTACATTTCCACACACAGACACTCACACATAAATAAAATGTCCATATTCATTTATTATTATTTTATATGATTTACCTGCCTGTATATAAGCACATTAGTGCAAGCAATGCCTGTGGAAGCCAGAAGAGAGCATCAGAGATCCCCTGGTACTGGATTTACAGAAGGTTGTTAGCCACCAAGTGGATACTGGGAATGGAACCTGGTCCTCTCCAAGAGTAGCCAGTGCTCTTAACTAATGAGCCATCTCTCTAGCCCCAGCCTAAAACTAAAAAAAGAAAACAAAACAGTTTTAACACAGACTGTTATATGCAGATGGCAAAGGATGGAAGATCTTGAACTGGAACAACCACCTTGGGGATACAGATAAGAAAGCAGTCAGGAGACAGACTGCCATTCAACTACAGCACTGTCAATTTCTTGAGGGCAAGAACTACATTTTTCAGCATTTTTTTTTTTTGAGCCAGAGGTTCATGCATCCCAAGCTAGCCTTGAACTCACTATGTAGCTAAGGATGACCTTGAACTCCTGATCCTTCTGCCTCCACCAGTTGAGCTCTCTGAGCACATGTGTGTACCCCTACACCTTATTTTATGTGGTATGGGGCTCAAACCCACGGCTTCAGGTATGCTAGGAAAATACTGGAACAACTGAGCTACATTCCCCAGCCCTCTTTTCCATTTTTGTATCACACCACAACACAGTGTTCAATATAGCACAATGCAGCACTTTGTACTCAAAATTCATTGTTGGTTAAAATGGATGCAATTAAATTTTATAAGTAAGATTCAGGCCAGGTGTTGTGGTGCACTCCTTTACTCTCACCATTCGGGAGGCAGAGGCAGGCAGATCTCTGTGAGTTCAAGGTCAGCCTGGTCTATATAGTGAGTTCCAGGCCAGTTGGGGCTACAGGGAGACCCTGTCTCAAAAAGACCAAAAAAAAAAATAATAATAATTTAAATTAAAAAAGAAGACTCAGTAACTGGATTTGAGGAGATCAAGACAGCTTCCATCCACCCAAGTTTAGAACTTGGGTCTGAGGGAGAATTCTGAAGTTGCCTTCCATGGAGTGAGTGCTCTAAGCATCGCATTCAATTTGCTTTCCCTGCCCTAAGGTCTGTCCTTGGCAGGGCCCCAGCTAGGGTAAATCCAGCCTTCCCTCCCAATCATGACTCTCTAGCCAGGAAGGAGGCTTTCTTTTTGGGCCTCCCTTCCGCTTTTCCTAGCCTGGGTAGTGAGCCACTCTTCATAGTATTTGAATCAGAGGAAACAGATAGACTGAGGAAGCAAAGAAAAAACAGGCCGACTGGGTTCTGCAAGCCAATGTAAACATTCAGTGGTTTCCTGTTGTTGCAGCCCAAAGAGTCCCATGACATCATTCCTGGCCTTTCCAGAACATGCAGGCTCAGCCCAGCCTGCCAATCTGCCCAGGTTGTCACCCCTTCCCCGTTAGTGTTAGATCCTCCGGAACTGGGACAGTTCTCTAGGGCAACAATTCTCCCACTTGTCTAGCCAGTCACTTAGGCCTTTGTTGCCCTATAAGGAATTAGATGTTGCAAACCAGAGGTGCTATCCCACTTCTCAAAGTCTTATGGGAAAAGAAAAATTTCCCAAACCGGAAAAGTTACTTTACTTCTTTTAATGGAGAATTGGAGTCAGAGCAGCTTGTGACACATAGTTTCTGAGACAAGCCCTGACTACTTCTTCTCTTCACCCTACTCAGGGCTCACAGGTTTATGTCCTGATTGATCACATATTCCTAGAAACAGAACAGTAAAATCCATTTTAAGACTTTGTTGCCTAATATTTCCATGATACACATGAGAGCACTAAGGCCCAGCAAAGGAAAGGGCCTGGACCCAGTTACATAGTTGGACAGAGCAGTATAAGTCATGCGCTAACATGACTGAACTATATCAAGGCAGGACCGAACAGTACTAAGAGTTCTTGACAGAGAATTAAAAAACCATGGGCTGAACTCTGTTAAGAGCTTGGGCAATTTCCTCCTTTCTTTGTGCCTTGGCTTAGCCAGTTGTTAACTCAATTCAATATAAAAAATAATTTATTGAGCACCCAGTGCACTTGGTAGGGTTAGTAGCTACGGGAGATGAATGGAGTCAAGATGAAACATTTCCCACTTCACAGGCTGGAACGGAAAGTGAAAATGATGGTCTGAATTCTGTGAGACTCAAAGTCTGTGTGAACTATTCTTCTGTCTCTAAGCATCAAATTGTCATCAGAAGTGGGGTCTTTTGGGACTGTAGCCCCATTCCTGTCTGCCCAGTCTCTCATAGTGCTCTCATTGGAAGACTTTTATTTGCACAAATGTTCCCCAGTTCTGGTCTCATTTAGCTGGGTAGATTTGCATAGAGAGGAGGCAGCAGAGTCCTAAATTATTGCCTGGAAAATTGGGCTAAATGCATTATGGTAATTCCTGCAGCCAGCAGTGATTAGATTTCAAACTGTAACTGTGCCATGAAGCACAGACAATTTGAAATAGCTCTTATAACCCATCAAATTCATCACACTCTAGAATAGTAAACAGAATTCAGAAGAAGCACCTTTGGGGAAAATGATGCCTATTCCTTCACCCAAAGATGCACAAGGCAATTTGAAGCCATTCCTTTGGCCAGTTAATTCAACAATAGCATGAACTAGGTGAAACATGCACACAGCGAGTACAGGCACATTTAGATGCCTGAAGATGGACATCCATATGCAGATGCAGATGAACATTCAGGAAACTGCAAACAAGCATTGGGAGACATAGAAAAATGGTACCCTTGAGTCAGCAGCAGTGGAGGCAGGGGAAGAGATTTTCCTTTTTGTGAAACATACTAACTGCAGGTGCACAGGTTTTCAGTATCTCGCTTGATGGATTATACAGAGGAAACTCGAGTCACACAACCACCACCTACAGTCAGGCTAGTCTCGATCTTGCTGAGTAGCTTAGGATGACTTTGAAATTCTGATCTTCCTGCCACTGATTCTTAGTGGTAGAAATCCAGAATTGCCTGGTTGTTAGGCCCGGGGAATCTGAGCCGTGATTTTGGAAGACTTAACTGGCATCCTTAGAGGACTGAAAGTCCTGGCCTGAAGGGTAAAGAGGATTCTGTTTGCCTTCACATCTTGCACATCTTTTTGGCATGGTCTAGGTGTGCCGAGGGATATCAGGTGTATATGGGAAGCACTGGGAGTTTGCCTTCAGGCAGCGACTGTGCCGTGTCCCTGAGGGACACTATCAGCCCTTGTGGAGGTTCAGTACGGTGACTGAGGTTCAGTCCTGGTGCCCCCTACCTCTAGTCTCCCTGGCATGGTCAGCAGAAGCAGGGCCTGGTCCCACCAGGGTCCATGTGGTGTTATTTCTGGGCCTCACCTAATAGAGACCACACATGTCCTCTGAATATTTGTTCTAGAGGGGGCTGGGCGCTGCAGAAAGTGAAGAAGCCTGGCCTAGAACCTGCTTGCCAGAGCCAGCCATGGTCCTGGTAATGTGGCTAGAGATGGGGAAGCCCTGTGGCTAAGGGCAGCTCACAAAGAGCTGCGATATTCATTTGGGGTTAGTGTTGACTGTCACAGGGCACTGAGACCTTCCTTTGTCATCTTTTCTTCATATAAGGACATTGACTTTCTTCAGACATGGACAGTCACGTAGCATAGAAGTTTATCCATCCATTGTGCATTGACCAGCCTTCTGTATACTCTGAAAAGCAGGCAGCTCTGCAGGAGCAGGGCACATAAGCACACATATCTTTTAGACGTTTCCCCCAGGACTCTGGTCAAGGAGAAGTTTTCATATAGGCAACAGGGGGATATGTGCTTTGTATATGCTGGAGAATCTTTGACCACTTTGACTTAGACACAGAATGCTTCCAACCTCTGCTTAGGCATTCTGGTTTTCAGCAAACACATTAAAAGTGGACTGTACCTTGTAATACTGTTTTTATAGTTTGACTTAAAAAAAGAAAAATGGTACCCTCATACAGAGAGAGAGAGAGAGAGAGAGAGAGAGAGAGAGAGAGAGAGAGAGAGAGAATCAGA